TTTGTTTTACTTTATTCTTTATTGTTATTAATATTTTTTTAATTTTTTGTTGTGATCTTTCATGTCGCTTCATTAACTTCTTTGTTCAACTTCCCTGTTGTTTTTGAAGCCCTGAGCAGCCGTCACTAAAGATACAAAACTTGAAACTGAAATCTACTCATCAAGCAAGATCCAAATGATCAAATTACATCTGCGTACAGTGAGCTGAAACTGAATACAACAGAAGTCAAAGGGGCGGAAGATCAGAAGAAAAGAATATACAAAGTGATCAGAGGAAATAGGGAATGAAAGAAGAGGAGATGTGGAAATGAGAGACGGGTGAAAAGAAAGCTTATTTGACAGAAAAAGGAAACGGGGAGGGGTTGAGGAGGAGAAGAGGGGGGAAGTATGAGGAAAAAGACAAGAGGATAGATTGAGGGTTGAAGAAAGTATAGGGGGGGAAGCCAGAGATAAAAAGAAGTCGGACTATGAGAACACACGCACAGAGTAAATGAGAGGTCGGAGGATTGAAGAGAAGGAGATGAGGATGACAAACGAGTAAATAAGTAATTGACTAAACGAGAAATGCTGACTAGGTTGAAAAAGAAAGAGTAAAGTAAGAAAGGTGTGTGTAAAAGGGGGGAGGGATGGAAAAAGTGAGAGAGAGAGAGAGAGAGAGAGAGAGAGAGAGAGAGAGAGAGAGAGAGAGAGAGAGAGAGAGAGTAAGCGTATTAAATGTGAACGAAAGAAAACGTGGTTTGCAGGGTTATGGAAAAAAATGGAAACTCTTTTGTGGTTGTTGTTTTTGTTGTTTGTTTGTTTTTTGGGAGGGATTTTTTGTTGTTGTTTTTTGTTTGTTTTTTTGTTTGGTAGTTTTTTATTTTAATGAAGAGGTTAAATGAGGACACAACAGAGAAAAAAGAAGGAACTAAAAGCTGTGGCGGGAAGGAGTGGAGATTCGATCAAAGAGTGAAAACTCGCTAATTAACTTGAGGATATAATGAGAGTACTGAAATCTAGCCAGGGGTGCTCCAGGGTTGTAGGCTTTGAGAGGTTCAGCGTTTGGCATTGGTTTTCCGTGAAAGAAATAAAACTGTAGGCGGAGAGAGAAAGACGATGAAAGGATTGAGGGAGAGAGGGCGAGAGGGAATGATGGAGAGGGTGGGGGAAGAGGAAGAAAGAAGGGAGGAGAAAGAGAGATAGAAGAAAGAAGAGAGGGGAGAGAAATAAACAGAGAGAGAAAGAAGAGAGAGAGACAGAGAGAGAAAGAGAGAGAAGAGAGAGAGAGAGAAGAAAATACAGAGAAAAAGAAACATGAGAAAAGTGAGATTGAGAGAAAGAGAGAGGGGGGGGGCGAGACAGACAGACAGACAGACAGACAGACAGACAGACAGACAGACACAGAGAGAGAGAAAGAGAGAGAGACAGAGAGAGAGAGGGGGGTGGAGGGGGGGACCAAGACTTGGGTTCACTGATGAACCAAGGAAATGGCCGACGGCTGTATGTGTTGACTATAATTTGAGATCTTGGCGAAAACGAAGTCATCGAATGTTTTGCCTGTGTGTTCGTTTTAGTTTTACTTGTTTGCTTCTTTGGGGGAAAGAAATGGAGGCGGAAAGGGGGCGGGGGGTGGAGAGTATTGTAGCGTCAGTTTCTTTAGACTTCTTTGATTTAGGTGAACTTCAGACTTTTCGTCTCTGCTCAAGAACTTGTTTTATTTGCAGTCGACTCGTGTCCGTCTGTTTATCTGTCTCCTTTTCTGCTTGTCTGTCTACCAATAGACGCACCTAATCATCCGCCCATCTTTCTTACTAACCGTGGGGGAAAAGGGGGGGGGTCTAGAGGGCGCCATTGGTAAGTAATACTTCCACTACAACTTCTTCATATCTTTCCCTCTGTTGTTTCTGTCTATAGGTCTTACACTTTCCCTGCACTAATGAGCGTTATCATGAAGTTGTTCTTTATCTTACTGAGAACTTGTCTCTAATTACCCCCCTATTTATCTAACTGTGGATGCATAGATAGAGCAATCATACGTATGACAATCAAATATTGATTCAGCGCTTAATATTTTGTTCACTGATAGCCATCGTTCGCTAAACCTCCCTTTGTCGAACGTTTAATCAAAAAAGGCTTTTTGAACAAAAGAATCGTGAAGGCAAAAATACTGCTATAAGCAAAATATTTTTTGGCTAAATTTCAAACCATCTGGGAAAAGGATACCTGTTTATTAAAATGCGCATCTTTGTTTACGCATAATATCTTCAATTATGTTGCAGCCACAATCTGTCTTAGCCCTCTCTCCCTAATTAATGTTTATTTCAAATACATCGAAACATTTACTTGACACCATAAGAAGGTAACACGGAATAAAAACAAACAGCCGAACAAGTAAATAAACAGAGTTTTGTAGTGTGAAAAATTTATTTGCCTTCCATCCTCCATCCCCCATCCCCCATCCCCCCTCTCCCCCGGGGCCCACCGTTAGATCAATCGATAAGATACTACATCTAGATCCGCCGTGCTTGTCTCACCAATTTGAACTCCATCTCGAGTAGTTCTACAAGGGAGTATTTTTAATTGACAGTCAGAAAAGGATTTTAACTTTGGAGCAAAGGCAGAGTATTCGTGAAAAGTTCTCTCTCCTATTTTCAGTCCCTACTGTAATGATACTGAGTAGAGCATGCAAAGAGATGCACAGGTATGGTAGAGGAATGGCAGACATTTTATTTTCTTTCTCAGATTAACTGTTGATTAAAATGATAAATGTTATGTGAATCTATCTATCTATCTATCTATCTATCTATCCATCTATCTATCTATCTATCTATCTATCTATCTATCTATCTATCTATCTATCTATCTAATCATTTATCTACTTAATCATCTATCTATCTAATCATCTATGTGAGACATGTATATATTTCTCTCTCTTTCTCCTTTTTCTGTTTCCTTACTCCTCATTTTTCTCTTTCTCTCTCCCCACCATCTTTCTATCCTCCCTGAAACGTGCGTCCCATGTCTCTCCGCTCAGATCCAGGAGTGGGTGTGTGTAGTCTGTGACAAGCGCCGGCGCCTGGTGATGACCACCGGCATGTGGTACCACGGACACCACCCGGAGAACTCTCTGCCCCTGGAGAAGCAGATTGTGGACACCGTCAAGGTAATGTTGGCGCCGTTTTGTTATGTTGTTTGCTTGTTTTTGTTGTTTTTGATATATTTTGTTTTAGCGCTCTTTTTCACGTTTTGTCCATTTCGTTTTTCTAGAACGTTTGGAATGTTCAATGTGAATCATCTAGTGCTCCAGTGCAGTAACATTTAACTTTTTAGCATCTATCTATCTATCTATCTATCTATCTATCTATCTATCTATCTATCTATCTATCTATCTATCTATCTATCTATCTATCTATCTATCTATCT